ATTTCAAAATTCCTGAGAGTCCCTTGATCTTTTCTAACGAAACCATTAGTCTATTTTTTGATAATTATACTATTCTCAGAATTATATTAATTAAATGAGTTAAAAGCCATAGAAAAAGATGCGCTCATTCACTCATATAATATGGCGTCGCTCCGACTGTTCGCGGAGTTGGATTTTCGAAAGCGCCGGCTGTAAAAGGAAGATAAGCGTGCATAATTGCAGCCTACTCGCATTCACACACATTCGCTGTTTGCTTTATCGCGCCACTTATTCGCGCCGCGTTCTAATGTGGCGTGAATTATTGCGAGCGCACATCCATAATAATAACGCCGTGCATCAACTTATTCAAATGAGCACCCACACATAACTTCGGTTTGTTCGTTTGTCTGGCTGCAAAAGAGGACTTATCGATTGGCCGTCTCTCTCGTTGCGTCACACTCGGCGGCCTTGCACCTATTTTCGTTGTTTCCATTTCGGATCGTGGCCGAATCGAGAGAAGTAATAATAATATTATGGAAAGCAGCGCGGCAGACGGCGCGCGACTGTCAAACGCAAGCTTTTGCTAAATCGGGGCCATAACAAGTAAAGCGCACCAAGAAGCCCGCCAGTGCTGTAATCTGATTTCTGAAGGAAATTCTCAGGCGAAGGGTATTTCAATAAGCACAATTCAATAGGAAAATCTGATGATTATAAAAGGTTTCTAAACTATTAAAATTGCTTTATTAAACCTTAAATTCATTGTTTTTAACATTTTTTTTGTAGCTTTTCGATTCTTTATTAAATATTTTTACATATTTTTTAAGAACGAATAAATGAATCAAGTTAGAATTATTTCCACCAACTACCGAAGCATCAAGTTTCTAACTGTTAAGATTAAATAAACCAAAAAGTAATCATGTATTTTTTTTTATTAACAATGTGAAATGAACTATGAATCAACTAACATAATCAATCAATTTATTTTAATTAATATTAATAGCATGATTTTTCTAAAAAAAAAAATCTTTATGCATTGGTTTATTTATTCGCAATTAAAGCATATTTTAATAGAAGAAATAAATAAAAAATAAAACAATTCAAAGAGAAGAATTGCAAAACAGCACGTCAGACCACAGCTAATAAAAATTTATGAAGAGCCTTATTAATTGTAAATAAATAAATGAAAATAATCCCAAAAGACTAAACTGTAATTATAAATTATATACATAACATAAATACATAAAATAAGCACAATAAAAAATTATTTTTCAGTATTTCAATACTATCATTGTGGTTGGAAGGGCGTCGACTCCTCGCAGTATCGACCTTTACCTCGGTGCAAGCGAAAATGCAGCGACGGAAAAAAGTGCATTCGATAAATGCAAATGCAGCAGCCGCACAAGTGGCGCCGCCGTCGCGCCGGCCGGCAGGTCGTCGACCTCGCGGCGTGCTCGCTGCATTTTCGTGTGTTTGCGTTTCCTAATGGGAGCCCGAGTGAGCGGGCCGGCAGGTGCTGACGGTATGGAAACGAGCGAGGAAGAGAAGGAAAGGGAAGAAAGAAAGAAAGAAAGGGTTCTTATCAGTGGCGGGGGTCGGATGCTCGTCTCCGCGTGCGGCTTTTATCACACGTGCCGACCTTTGTATGCGTACACACGGCGATAATGACCAGCAAGCCCGTCGTGCAAACACGCCGACCGGCATAATAATGCGTCCTCCTGCGCGGAAATATCGCAGGCATGCCCACCTGGCATACGAAATTTCCATTTCCAAAACAAATAATATGACAGAGAAAAAGAGGCACCCATCGCTTTTCATTTTTTTACCACCAAAGGATCTTTTTAATTTTTTTTTAATTCATTAAATAAAAATTACATAAAGATAACAAAATACAGGACTATTTTAGAGTTAAAAAAGGATGGTTATGTTTCAGTTTTGTTTGGAGAAAGGAAAATTTAGAACTTCTTTTTCACAGCCAATTTTGAGAATTGCTTTACATGGAACATTATTGAAAAAACAAAATAATCTGAAATTCTCTGGGACATATCTTTATTTTGAATGCTTTTTTTTTATCTTGTTATTTTACGAAACGAAATTGTAGAAATCATTGAGGACTCTTTATTGGCAAATTCAGATCAAATTCTCTCTTTAAACTAGAACCCAATTATTGAATATTATTGGAAATTTTAAATTTTAACTCCCGCATTGTTGTACAGTCTTAATTTGACTATAAAAATAAGGAGTCCTTATATATTCACGCTATTTTATTAGAAAAATTTATAATTTGGTAGGCTTTCCAGCCGATAAGCACCGAATGGAGCTTGGCAGGATCATAGTCTATCCAAATGAATCACAAAAAAAAAAAATAATAATAATAATAATAATTTTATCAGGTACAGAGGGAGAAAATTAAAAATAATCCACTATCGTCCCATCTTTTTGTAACATTAAATTTTGTACATAAATTTAATGAATGGCTAGTAAAAAGAAAATGATAAAGAGAGGCAAAATGTATTTCTGAAATCCTGTACATCAGAAGTTAAATTTCACGGAACATTGAAAGCGGGGATAACCAGTGCAAAAGATTCAACAAAATTGCAAATAAGGCCTCTATTTAAAAAAATAGAGGCCTTTTTTTTGGTTCAAGTATTTTTTATTTTTATTTATGCAATTATTCCAATTTTTGTTAGTTTTATTTTGGTATTTTAAATAAAAATTATAATATAATATTATTCAGCATGCGCCTTAGGAGGTTGAAAATTTCCCAACAAAGGGAGTAGCCAATCGTGCCAAATCCGCGCCCTCAGGCCCCAGTGGAAGAAAAGCAGTTCGCCCTGATATTGTTTTCACAAGCTCGGTCGGATGTTTTTCTGCTCTTTTTTTCCACCCTGCGAATGATGTTATTGTTCCGAAATTCGCTCATCCGTCGATCGTTTCCTAATTTGTTTGTCCCCCGAGAATGAGCAAATCGGGCGCAGCTGGCGCTCTTGTTTTGAACCGGGGCGCATTGTTTTGACGAGTTCCGTCCGTCCTTTTGATCTGTCTGCCGTGCGGCGGATTCGATCCTGAATAACAAATCGAGCAGAGAGAGCGGGCGCCACCGAAACACACGCAGCCCATCGGAAGTGCGCCGCAGCAAATTCATCGCCGCTCGAAACTTCCTCATTCTGGGGTGTTGTGACGCCGGCGAGCGTAATTCTATTTGCAGACCATGCTACAAACGTTTGCAAATAATTCTGCTTACGCAATTAGTATAAAAATTATAAAAATTAAAACTTAGATAATTATGATTTAAAGGAGATCCAGTACAATTTTCTTAAAAAAATTGTAAAAATCTTCAAGAATAAAAATTGTGAAGAAATATTTCATGGTAACAGTTTGCAATTAATTAAATATTCAGATCCTTAATTGATTCATAATTCATATTTTTATTATAAATTTATATTGGGACTTAAATATTCAGAATGGCTCAATAATTTCATATTTTTCCCTCAATCTTTTATTTTGTCGGTTGAATCTTTTGATAATTGTTTTTCTTTTTGTGTTCAATAACCACAAATAATTGATCGTGGCGACAGATTTGTTCCTTTCATTTTATTTGCTGCGCAGAAAGATGGAGCTTGACATCTTGCTTCAATCGGCAGCACGTTTCCTATAAATACGTCATTCTCTCTTTCTCTCCATTTTGGCCAACTGAATAGCCCGGTGCGGGGGCAGATAAATCAATCAGGTGGTTTCTTTTCGAGCGGGTCCAGCTAGCAAAACTTTTTATCTGCGCGTGCCAAACAAAAGTGTACTTACAGCTGAGCACAAAAGGGCCTGGCTGGAATATTAAAAGAAAGACATATAGACGGGTAGATTGGAAAATTATTAATATCAAAGCGAAGCTCAGCCGCGGCAGGCAGAATTGATCGCAAGAGCTGGAATTATTTTCTTCATTAATATTTTCCCAAGCGTGGGAAGATTGAAAGAGATTAGTGACGATGAAAAGAAACTTTGATCTGAATTCCAAGAAGAAATATTTATTTTTAGCCGGGGTTAATTATTGCGTCGCGAGTAAAATTCCGTGGAAAACGCAAATGAAGCGCGACGCGTCGCACACGCGGGTGGTCTTCAGCGATACCTGCTTTTGTTGTCACCGCGCGCGTTTCTCATTTTCTGCCGTCTCATCGCGCGAGTCGAGCCTGAAACGAACTTTATATATACGTAATATAAAATGTAACGAATCCCGTCGCACTTTTCGTTTCTTGACGACTGCGCGTCGGGTCGTTGACCGCGTGTGAGATTTGTTTGCAAACAAAGGAAGCGACTCAAAATTATTTTGTTAATAAATGTCACCGGTGTGCGTCACTTGTACACACACACACGCTCATATGGTTCTAGAACTTTCTTTAGGAAAGAGACGCCGCCTGCACGATGAATCAATGATGCGTGATGGCTGACCGTCTCTTATTTTTATTAGTTTTTTTTTTAAAATAAACAAGTCGAGTTATGGGTCATTCGATGAGGCTATTTGCTCTTTTTATAGAAACATTCTTGAATACCGGGACTAAAACTGGTATAGCCGTTTGTTTCTAAGATAAAAACGCAAAAAATTCATGGGCCCCATTATTCACTTTGCTTAAAATATTCATTTTTATGTCGATTGTTAAAATTATAATTTTAGAAGAAATTCAATATTGATGTTTCTGTCCATATTTTAGAAAAAATTATTAATGATTAAAAAAAATCTATGTTAAAACAAAAAATCCAGAACATCAAACGATAGTTTTCTGAAATTTATAAGAGAAAAAGGAATTATAAATTAATTAAATACAATTAATCTTATTCCAAAGTACAGTCAACCAAGACAAAATTGTTGCCATAGAAAGTGGTGCCGTTTTATTCAACTATAAAGTGTTGTGTTTCTTTCACAACAATTGATCATTTTTTTATTTCTTCAAATTGTTGTCTGTCTACAGTTAATTTCCTAAATTTGAAATTAATTTTATGCTAATGAAAATAATCTTCTCTTGTGTTTGCAGTTTGCAACAAAGGCATTGACATCCGCAACAACGTGCAGCACTTTGACCGTCTACGCGGTTGTAGGGTAGTCGAAGGCTCTGTGCAAATCGTGCTGATGGACAAGGCCAAAGACGAAACAGAGGACGAACTTTTCCGCAACATTTCGTTCCCCGAGCTCCGCGAGATCACCGGCTACCTGCTGCTGTACCGCGCGAATGGCTTTCGCACCCTGTCGCGCCTCTTCCCCAACCTGTCGGTCATCAGGGGCAACATCCTCTTCTTCAACTACGCGCTCGTCATCTACGAGATGCGAAATCTGCACGAGATCGGACTGCACTCGCTCACACACATCCTCCGTGGCTCGGTGTACATTGAAAAGAACACCAACTTGTGCTATGCCGACACCATCGACTGGGACCTCATTACCAAGGCTGAAAATGTCGAACACATCATCAACGTGAGTACCAATAGCTTGATTGCATTTGCATGATTTATTTTACTAGAAACAAACATAATTAAAAATTGATTAAATCTAAAATTTTTTTAGCTTCAATTTAATTATTGTATTTTCTTTTAGTGATAGACGCAAAATATATATAATAAATAGAAAAATATGCAGACACTTATAACAAAATACAAACACACAAATAAGATTGAACTGAGATAGCGTGAAATAATGAAAGTGGCAAAATTTATAATAATTTAAATATATCAAAATTAAATAATCACACAATAAATTTCGCCAGTAAAAAAATGTACAGAGAAATTTCCTCCACTTGTAATTATTTTTTTAATTGGAGCATGGAAATATGTATAGTACATTTTAAATGTAAAAATCTTCCAAGATATTAAAAAGCAGCAAAAAAATTAATTGCCATATTGAAAAGTACTTGAAAAACGATCAACCAGAAAATCGATGGAGCTGTCAAAAAAAATTATCATCCGCACCACGGATGATTGCACCGCTGGAGGAGCCACGAAGCGTGCGCGGATTTTGAGTAATTGGCGCCGCAGCTGCTGGCGGGCGGCTCTATTTCCAGCAGATAAAAGTAATAAACACGTTGTGACTCACAGTATTTTGAGGGGGAGAGAGAGCAGCGCAATAATTTGCACACGCTGATGTGCGCGGACTTTGGAATTTTGAACCTCCGGGGAAGAAGAAATAATAAACTGGACGAGAGAGTGAAAGAGTGCTTGGGTAGATTCCCAGACCGCAAATCTGAAAAAGGACACTCGGTTGACAATGAGAACCGCAGAAATTTGCATCTCTCTCGTTGCTGCTGCTGCTGCTCGTGTGGCGCCGAGAGACACTCGATCCAATTTGTGCGCGGGAGATATTTTTAAATTAAATAATACTGCGAACCACACATCCTTTGTGAAAGCAGAAGGGAAAATAAAGCGCGAGAAAATAAATAAGCGGAAGAAAATGGGCGCCGATTTTAGCAAATAAAAATAGAAGACAATGAGAGAAAACCACTTTATTGATGGCAGTAAACGGCCGCGAAACCGAAAATAAAAGCGCGGGAAATGTACGGGGCACTTTGTTTTTATTGCGGCCGATCGCGAAAATAGCGTTACGCAGAAGAGTAATGGTCGCTCGAAACGACCCTTTTTTCCTCCGGCCGACAACTGCTGCCGCTGGACCTTTCATAAATAACGCCAAGTGAAACAGATTCCTCTCTTTTGATATGCTCAATTAAAGGCCCAGCAAAAATACTATAGCAATTTTTATCGGACGAAGAATTTATAAATCGTAATTTTTAGTTTGCAAGTGTGAATTTTCAAAAGTAAATATTCATATTCAAACAAAATTAATCACACGCCCTCTGTTGAAAATAAGTTGGAGAGTGAAGAGAAATTTTAATTCATGAGCAACAATATATTGAGTCCAGCGCATTTTTGGGTCACTGAAATATTCACAATATTTTAATCGTCATTGCATAAGAAAAAGTTAACTATGCTTTAATGACCGCGTAAAAAAGATATTGAATGCTGAGAAAGATAAATAAATTTAAAATAAACTATTTTGAAATTATATAACTTCCAAAATTGATGAATTTCTTGTATTTTGCTGTATTTAATATTTTTAGACATTAAAAACCAATTTTGAAGGAAACAGGAAATGCGTAGCTAAAAAATTAGCTGGAAATACCCGCTGGAAAACACAAATTTTTGAAGGACTGCGCGATAATTTTATCACAACGCTTTGACGGCCATTCCAAAGTTGGCATCAGGGCCATTTGCACTTGGCGTCCGAAATAAATAAATGCACCAAGTAGGCTTGCGTGACTGAAGGCGAGTCGGCTCAAGACAGACGAGGCAAAGGTCAACGATTCTACAGGGAGTACCGCAGTGCCAAAATAAAGTATATATTAAATTAGAATTTTCCACTTGTTCAGCTTTTTTATAATGCCTACAATAAAAAAGAGGCGCCAGTGTTTGTGTACATTATTGAATTCGCCGCCGATTTCCTAGCAAAATTATCTCCGCGGCTGATAAGGAGGCGCTCGGCAAGACATTCCCTGAAGTAATCTCAAAAAGTGTTTTTAGTTTTTATGTGTATATTTTCCTTCGGTTCCAATTAATTCATGCGCGAGCCGATTAGATAAGGCGCTGATTTGTTTTGAACAAACAAGCCGGTCGGACGCAATTTCGGAGATGTGCCGAATGTAATCGAAAATGACAACTGGGCGCCGAAACAAAAGGGCAGCCGATTGTGTATTTAACGACCTGTGCTTGGCCGCCGCCGGTGTGATATCGATTTGGAGAGACACAATCACCACGCGCGCGTCCATCCGTCCAATAAAATTATATGTACCTCCGGCTTTATTGCACTAATTCTCTCCCGGCGGTTGTAAAATGAAAGGGCGCGCGTGTGTGATGGGAAAAATGACTCCAATTGCGTCATCAACGCTGCCGCTGATCCGTGCAATGTTATTCGCCGTGCAAAATTTCCAGAGAGGGCTCGTTTGTTGCCGCGACTGCTGCGCACTTTGCCGGCGCAAAATAAATTTGAAAATTATGAGACAAAATTTTTCAAAAATTTAACAATTTTATTATTATTATATAAATATTTCTGTAATTAATTTTTCAAGTTTTTTCATTCATAAAAGTTTCTGAAATTTTTATACCGCACGATTGCCCAAAAGATAAAAAAATCTAATTTTTAATTGCTTTTAATTATATAATATTTTTTCCAGTCAAAATTCAACTGATATGGCCAGTGTTTGAGATGTAATTTGTTGTAAAAAGAGTACCGAGATTATTGTAAGGTCCGAAGTAATGCCCTTGTAGCTTTTGTCCTTTTTTTATTCTTTAATATTTTCTTCGAATGATTCCGGATGATTCATGAAAGTTTATCACTTTGTTTTTGGGAATTTGCATAACAATGATAACTAATTGATTATCAATGAGACATAAAAACTTCAGCTTTTCTTGGGTACGTCGTTTGACGCAATCGAGATTGATTATGTGATGTGAGACATGCAGCAATTCTTACACGCGGAGCCGTTACATTTGATTGTTTTCACTTTTCCCCGCAGAGGAGATCGGGGAGGCTCTCACCTCCTTTGAAGAAACCGTCGTCGCAACGTTTATTTGTTTGTGCGTTCGCGGAAGTTTTGCCAACTTTAACAAAGCGTGGCTTGAAAGCATTCGCGGAAATGGTCGTCGTTGTTTGATTTATTGCGCGTCGCTGCGACTGACAGCAAAACTTATTTCGAGAAAGAGAGACGCACTCGCCCTGATTGCATGTGCATCAAATGCACCGCTGAGCAGAATCTCTTTTCATTGCAAACGTACCCCACTCTTCCTCAGGCAAACACTCGAGCGAGCGAGAAAGAGCACATGAATAAAGTGAAGAAAGAAAATCGTGAATGAGTGCATTCTGAATTAAACAAAAGCGTCTGTCTGATGACAAACCTCAGCTTGGCATACTCGCAACGCTTTGTGCATTTATGAATAACGCCGGGGAAACTCTCGTCTGCGGCGGGGCTGTTGTTTTGTTTGCTCGCCGCCGCGATATTAAAATTTTTGCAAACATTCCAAGTTTTTGACCCTGTCTGCGGCTGTGTATATTAAAAAAGTTAAAAGTGTTGTGCTTTACATAAAAAATGCACTCATTAACACAACAAAACAAACAAAAAGTAGAAAATGTGAATGAAAAAATATCGGTCACAAATAATCTATCAGTGATTAATTTTGGTAAGTTATAAAAATATTCAAATATTCAATAAAAATAACACTTTTTAAATTAAAATTCTTTCTCAGCTATTTAATTTATTTAAATTTTCATCGTTGCAACACTGAATTTTAATTTTGTGTGAAAACATTTTACTTTGTCATTTCAAGAAAAAATTTAGTTGTTTACGTAATAAAAATTTAAAATTAATATTCATATAATGCAAATGAAAACTTAAAATTATTTTCCAGATATTGATTTAAAATGCCGAAATATATTATTAATAAAAATTTTAAATAATTACAAATTTAAGAGTATGAAATTGTATACATTTGCAACAATGGCAAATATTTACTGTAAATTTAATTTCTTGATTTTCTTTCCTCCGCTCCAAGAGCAATATTGATAATGGATGCACAGCATAAATTTTCATATGCAAAAAATATTGAGAAATTTTAATCATGAGAAGTTTCTGTCTCTGCGCCTACACCCATCGTTTTCCATGTTGTGCGAGGCCCAGGCTCTCCCCCGTCACCATTCATCGTGAAGGGTTGCATTCAGAGTGCATCGAACCCACATGTTTTGTTTTGAGCCCCCACCGAGCAAAAGGCCGCTCAGACTTGCTCAAGAGAAAACACGTAGATCGTTCTTCTTTATGCACAATGCAGTCTGGCGTGGCGGCTTCGGCAAACATCACGTCGCGCTTTCTCTCTCGCTCTTGAAACAAACGCAAATTATCCGCCAGCCCCCCAACGGCTGCGAGACCATAACCTCGCGCACTCCACCTGCCTCTTTGCTCTCGTTGCAGACACACCAGCAGACGTGCATGCATGTGAAATTGCATACAAAGCCTTCCTGTCTGTCTGGCGCGCCGGCAGACGGATTAATTACAGACCCAACAGGGGCAGCAGTAGGCTAGGTTGCGAGCCAGCCAGCAAAAAACGATCGCTCTCCGCAGCTTTTGGCGCGCGATTTTCCGTCATGTGGCACGTCGCATGTCTGCGAAATGAGCTTCCTCTCTCGCGCACAAACACATACACCAAGCTAAAGTCACGAGGGGAACCATTCAGACTGAAATGCGAGATTTTTTGCAACAACTCACAAGTGCAGGCATAACATAATTGAATATCTCTTTATTTAAGTTCAAATCAGGCCAACTGCAAATGTGACGTAGTAAAGAGATGTGAAATTGATAATCTAAAACATTAGGTAAATTAAAAAATACATCACAAAGTTTTATCTGTTGACAATGAGTTTAATAAAAAGGCCATAAAATT